AGATTTGGCGAGCAGATTTGGCGAGCAGATTTGGCGAGTTCTTACAGTTTCGCTACCTCTATGGCCTCATGCTTAATCAAGGTGGCCTAGTGTATCTTTCAGACAACCGCGAGGCCAGCCCGCTTCCACAATTTTGGTTTGTGCGATGCGCTCTAAACTGTACCTCGCGGTCAGGGGAGTCACTGGGCGAGGCTGAAGATCCCTACGGCATAGGAGGATGAATTTCAGCCACGGGCAAACTACCTTGGGCAATTGACTCGAAGTGCAGGTGGTGTAAGTCCCCGCAAGTCTGCCATGTCTACCGGGTCGACTAGTCGGCGTGCCTCGTGTGAACTATTCGGACAATGAGCCATTCCTCCGATTCCAAAATTCTAGATGGTTCACGCGTGGCTGGACGCTTCAAGAGTCACCCGCTCCCACGCGGCCCATGTATTTCACGCGGGATTAGAGTCACTTTGCGAATTACCACTCTATCAATTCTTTTCCCGGCGTAAAATTCCCTGAGGCCGAGGCTTTAGAAGCCTCTGGTATACTGGAAAAAAGACAGAGAAACCTCGATCCAAAACGAACGAGCTATACCTCGGTCCGCGCAGTAGAGAGAGCGCGTCCGGGGGGTTCGATGGCGGAGTACGGGAAGCAATGGTATAGCGACAAACTGATTGCAACGCTTGATACGTGCCGCGATTGCAGGGGTGAAAAAGACGCCGCCACGATCAAGGAAATTGCTTTGGACCTCAAAATCCAATACACACCAGAACAGCGGTAAGAGAATCCGAGTCTGTCTGTATGAGGGTCGCAGGGGTGATCCGGTGTCTCCCTCGACAATGGCCTACGAGCCGCGCGCGGATCATGCTCAGTGACAGTGCGGAAGGGTACGAAGGTGTGGACGATCCTCTTGCCGACCGCGAGCGACCACTGTGACAGGAACGTTGATCAAACGGCGCCAGGGCGATGCCCCTGAAGATGTCGGTGTGACAGTGTTCGGGAGACGTCTTCCGTGACTATCGCACCGGGGACATAAACGAACAGACACAGCCTGAGACTAGGCGCACGGAGATGGACCAATTTGTGGACCTTGCTCAAGCGCCGTTCACTACCGAAGGGGGAGGGTCGGATTCTGGGGAGGTGGGATTCACCGTCGTCGGCCCTCGACCCTGACAGTTCAGCTCCCACCCACCCAAATGTGCTCGCACGACGATGGCCCTACGATAGCCCTACGATGGCCCTCTGTTGTCGACATCGTCACCAGCGCCAATGTCCCCGTAGCACAGGAAAGTGTCAGCTCCTCACTCCCAGGAATTCGTTCCAAGGTGTCCTCCTGCGTACCTCCTATTCCAATGCCTTTCCTGGTATCTCCCGCGCCAATACCTTTCCTAGTCTTGGGGTGATAACCTCATCCAGCGCTGGGTGAGTGCGTAAAATGACATCAACCGGGCCCGCCGATCCTCGCCCCGCGTCCAACAGCGACTGTCCAGCCACCCTGATTTTCCGACCGGTGACTGTGGATCTCCAGAGCGAATACGTCCATACGGTCGTCACGAAGCCCGATCGATCCCCCAAGTTCGACCTTCCTCGCTCTCGCTCGTTCCTCCTTCGTGACACCCTTCCTTTGACCTTTCACCATCAATAGACCGGGTCTTCTCATTGTCGGTTGTCCGCCCGGGGTAAATCCACAGCGGCAACCTGGCCGGCATGAAAACCATCTCTCAAATGATTTGATCGGGCATTCTCCGTTATCCCATGCGTTATCTTCGCCAACCACCCCTGCCCCGTCAATCTTTCTGGTACCCTTTTCTCAAGGAGTCATACATGTTCAACGCCTCCAGGGCTGGAACGGTCTTTCGGCTAGTGTATCGCCACGTCGAAGATGCCAGAGAGCGGCTGGCGGAGTTTGAACAAAGTCCCGTCGAGGTCCTTTATTTTGGTCAGTTTCTGGATTCGATCGTCCCGGATGCGTTTCTCAGTTTCTGTTGGCGTCCGAGCCGCCAGCCGATCCCTTCCATACCTTGTGATAGCTGGGCGACAGAGTCGAATGGTGCCAGCCCGGAGGGCTTTATTGGACCAACTTATTGCGATGGGAGTCTCTCAGTGCCGCAGTTGAAACAAAAGCCGGCTAACCTTCCCACTGTAGTTTGGGGCAACAGATTTGGGCGGAGATGATGTCCGGCACCGGCCCTCCGACATTTGGGATCGGCGCTTCACATTAATGGGGGAGAAAAGGTCTAGTTGTTTTGCGGCGGAGGTCAGCTAACGCGCCAAATCTTGACGCGCCCCACGCCATTCTTCCGACTTCTTGAGATTCTTCCTGGGTTTTCAATCTCAGCTTTATTTAGTATCCTGCCGTCCCTACGCTCTCCAACATCTCAACCGCACAGTCGACAGGGCCCTTCTGAACACCCCCAGGTAGTGATAGAGGCCATGGCCGCCGAGGTGCAACTGCCCCTGCAGGTGTCGACCGGCACTCCGCCGAAGGGCCAGAAGGGCGAACGGATCAGCGGCGAGCGACGCCAAAACAAACGGCTGGTCGACCGAAACGGTCAACGACAAGCTCGAGATCGCACCAAGAACAAGATCGCCGATTTGGAGTCTCAAGTGGCACATTTGATGAGCCAGTCCGGTAACGAGGTCTGTCGCGAGCTGAGGGAACAGCTCGAGAGCGCCCGCACCGAGTACCGCTCGCTCAAACGCAAGCTCGCAACGATATATTCGCTGGCCCAGATCAACCTGGACGAGGAGTCTGAGGCCCGTCCTGACATGGCGGAGAAGGGTAGGCTACAATCCAGAGCAGCATGATAACAGTGTGTCAGCAACTAACCAAAGCTTGCCAGAACGGGCTGATATCTCTCTATCCTTTGCTCAGCCCAATCCGCACAAAGCGTCCCCGGTGGTCGTGGGCGATCCCCAGATCCAAGCTCTCGGCGAATCTGACCCTCAGCCGCGCGGGCCTGTATATGGCATCCACGGTGAGGCTGAATTCGGGTTTCCTCTCGATGATAGCCTCAATTCGGACTTTTCGGGTACTATATTCGATGGACGGACCTTCAATCCGATAGGGTCAGGGCCTACACCACCTGAGAAGGTTGAAATGGTCGTCTCCCACGCCAGTAGCACGATCACTTTCATGCCTATTTCGTTTCCTGAACGTGGGCCCTCGTGCACGTGTTTCTCCAACTCCCGTCCTCACGACCAGGCCAACATGTGGGCGTTTGTGAGCCAGATGTTGAATTGGGGGCAGACGCAAAGCCGGCTCGAGTCCAACAATGATGACACTGCCGACGACGTTGCCGTCCGCGCTGTCACAACAGGCTGGGATAAATTGCCCGGGGGCAACTTAAGCACCTCGTGGCAATGCTTGCGGGAGGTCGACAAAAAAGTATGGGTATGGTCTCGCGAAGTTAATCGGTCTCGCGAAGTTAATCGCCTCGCCATTCTCTGCATCATGGATTTGCTGCTCCAGGCAAGTTACGGCGCCAAAGAGTTGCTCAAGATAGTGTCTGACTTCAAGGTATAGTACCACATCAATCCCACAGAGGCTAATAGGTCGAGGGTACCTACATGGTATCTTCCAAGGTAAACACCCGCGTCTCTACTCCACTTCCTCGTTTCCTGCTTGTGGCGACGACGTTAACCAGCACTAGGCCGTCGCAAATGGCCAAGAAACATGCCTATGCCATAGATTTCTTCGTTTGGTAGGTGACCGCCCGGCTTCAACAAGACCATCATTCTCTGATCTCTCCTTTCCCAGGCCGGGCATCCGCGAGCGATTGATCCTCTGTTATCACAAGTACTGTTCCGACGAGTTCTGGTCACTTCTGGCGAAACATTTTCACTTCGTTTGGCCTTATAATCTCAGCGATTGCTATGTGCGCGATCAATCGACGAATAAATATCGGTTATCGGAGGCATTCCGCATGCAACTCCATGATCTCAAATCGTTCACCTTTGATGTCGGCATGTTTTCGACCTACCCGGAATTTGATGGCGACGTAACTGTAGGCTCACTCGGGGCTGAACAGAATGTGGGAAGCTTCTCGCGATGGAGATAGATCCCGGTCCAGCGTCTAGGCGCAGATATATTGTACAAGGGAGTTTGATAGTGCTGCTGGACCGTTGCTTATACGATATCCTCTAGATTGCAACTAGACTAGTCGCTATTCTGAGTTTATTGGTGCCGGATGAGTCCTCCCAAACCAAAGCGAGCGGTGCACAAGAATCGTTGTCGAGGTAGTAGGGTGGAGGGAACAAGCGAAAATGGCGCCGTGTGAACAAAAATTACCGAGGACTTCCATGTGCTGACGAGTGGATTTCTTTCTGTCCCACAAGCATAAAAGGTAGTGGTGTGCATCCTTTGGGATAACCGACGTAGAACTTCAAGAAAGACGACAAAAATTTTCGAGGTGCGCCGTAGATCCCGACGTTTTCAAGTCGTCACCAGCTCTAGATAGGAATGGCTCATGTCTTCATGCCAAGCACCAATCCCGAGATCGTTCGTCCCGCTTGGTCACATTCATTGAATGATACATTGAGTACCGCACTTTCTATAGTCACTGCGGCATATCCCTTGGTGATCCGAGTCAAAGTTGTTCCCTGCAGTCGGTTGTGACATGTAGTTTGTGCCTTTCCGGTCAATTGGCTTCATGGGTGATTGTCGCTGTCTCCTCAACTGTCTCACGACATCGTAGAAGG